TATGGGCGATGTTGGTAAGCCCTCTGGTAGGCCGCGGCTCGGCCCAGCCCTGCCGACAAACCCCGACCTCCCACGGCAGCGACTGGATGTGACTGATGGAAATGAAATTACGGGCTTGAAGAGGGGGAAAAAAAAAAAAAAAGCACAGAGGGGAAGGAAAGATCGCAAGAGTAAATTAGGATCATGGTCTTACAGAAGTCCTAAATCATTTCTTGGCACCTTAGCCCCTTTAGCAAGCAAAGATGTCTGGGAACTTCCAAAAATAGTTTGCTAATGCTGGGAGGCAATGATGGAGGTCAGTCCAATAGAGAGAAATAGGGAATTCTTGATACTGGACTCCAAGGAGGGACTTTTCTTCTGTAATAAAGAACATGTAGCCATTACTGCAGATGAGTCATTTATGGTGCTACAAATGAAAAGAGGGGGGCATTTTTCAGAATTCTCTTTAAGTCTCTTGGCAGTGACAAGCTTTGCTATGTGAAATACTTTGCATTATTGTGGCATCTACGCAGGTTTCGGTGAAGAACATTAAAAAAGACAAGCACTTGTTTGCCACTGAGTTTGATGCACGTGTGAGGGGCCGCTGGCCAAGGCGTTGCAGCAATTCAGATGCGAGTACCTAGGAATACACATCACTGTGTGCTTTTGAGTTGGCGGTAGTTTTATTTGGTTTTGAATTTAAAAGTTATTAATAAGTCCTGTCAGGGCACGGTAGATACAGCGTCTCTTAGAAAATAAATGCTGTATACATTTGGGGTGACCTTGAGGTAGTCCGTAAAGACAAGAGGTTGTCCAACAAAGGTGGCCTGTTGGTTGGTCCTTTTGTTCAGGGTGCACATCTGATAAGAGATAATCACTCTTCGGAGCTCTAGGGGGAGGATTTTGGGACTACATCTGTTTCAGCAGCAAGCTTAAGAGGGAAAACTGGGTACTGCAGATGAACATCATCAATTTTCAGAGATGTTATACTGACATTTTAATGGAGTTTTAATATAATTTCTTGCTGCCACGTTACACTGAAGCAGAAATTTATCTGAGACTGTTTCATGAAAATATTCAAACACCTCTTAAATGCCTGTGGCTATTAACATATATCCCAGGAGTGCTCGTATGGCTTCCATCTTGCATCACCTTATCTTTCTCTAAAAGTCCCCTCAGGATTCTTCCCATTTTAGGTGCAGTGTTTGAGCACAGGGAAAATATTTTCAGATGTGTCTCTCAAAAAAAACCATTTTTTTTCTGTGAAGACATTTTTCTCCAAATTTCAAAAAGTTTTATTTTCATGAATAATTAAGAAAATAAAGGAAAAACTGAAAACAGACAAACATCAAGAACAAACTCAGAGGTAACACATGCTTCTTATGACACTCTGTAAAGTTTCAGATACAACATAAAAGGATTCAGGCTCTGATGATAGGGCTCACCAAAGCCGTCTGTGAGATGAACACGTTCAGACTCTCATCTATCAGCAATATCCAACAATTCTACAAAGTTGCAGTAGTCGTGGAAAAAGTGATTTTTCTCTCTTTCAAGGAAATCGAGAGCATGATGCTCTTTGCCAACAGCAGATGGATATTTTGGCGTTCTTTGGGCAGTTCTGCTCCCCATCCCTTCTCCAGGGACCATTACTTTCTGCTAAGAGGGGTAAAGAGATGTCATTGCCTCATGTTGGAGTGGGCAAAAATTTACTGTTATTGGGCCACTGTCCCGTTCAAGAGCCTCTGCAAAGTGTGGAAATGGAGGAAGATGCAAATAGCACATCCCATGTTTTCCCTGGATAACCAGTCCAAAGAGAGGACTGGGCACAGTCCCAGCAAAGGCTAAGGGATCCTCAAGCACAGCAAACAGCATTTTTATGCTTAGTAGGATCCTTTTTCCCCCTTGACTGTGGAAAAGGAAACGTAGATTTATGAAGGAGGCTGCACAAGCCAGCGCAGGGACACTCTGGTTATGTCCTCCCCAGCCGCTGTCACCAAGACTGCCACACAGCAGAGTGCATCCAAGCTCAGTTTCAGCTGCCACGGGGCTTGAGGCTGATGCTCAGGGACCAATCTCCCCCCTGCCCATGCCCTCAGGGTGGTTTTGCAGTCCCTGCTGAGGCCAGGGCTACCCCAGCCAGGCCGCTGACTGCCTCGAGCTGTCCTGGTGAAAGCTAACTTCTATTTTTCTACATTCCAGGGCAGCAGCAAAAGCAAGACTACAGTGTAGACATACCACGTGTCTCTCAGACCCCAAGTGCAACTTTATTTAGACAGACAAAAAATATAAATAGGTAAATAAAAAAACAAATTTTCCAGGTGATTTTGGAGAGAGCTGCCTCGAGGGTCCGTATTTCTCACACGCACTCAACTAGGATACCTTCATCTTCCCTTTCTCGGGAGCTGCTTCATGGAGGAGTGGCTGCTCATCCCCGTTTACCGACAGGATCCTCTTTTCTGGCGGCTGCTCCTCAGGCTGGCGGGCGATCAGCAGACGACAGGTGAGCAGGATCCCAAAAACCAGGGCATGGGCGTAACGCTTGAGCGGGTCCCCCACCAGCTGGTGGAAAAAGAGCACAGCCAGCACGAGGAGGAGGAGGAGAAAGTTGGCCACATCTTTGGGGCGACCGGGCACCAGTGTCATGACAATGCCACACGCCACTTCTAGGGCACCGATGCTCTTGCGGAGAAGGATGGAGCTGACTCCCATCTTCTTCAGCATGGGGAGGGCCCGCACGTAGCTTTTGTATGCTCGTTTCTGAAAGCAAACAGTAATAGCATAGTGTACGTTGTAAGAAAATAATAGCAAATGTAATTTCCGTTTAAGTAGATTGATGTACAATATAACCTAAATATCGCTTCAATCATCACAGACCCCTCTGGCACAATATCCAATCTGTACCCCTAAAACTTCTGTTGGAGGGACAGTAACGCCATCAACCTGCAACTCCCCCTTCAGAAGCTGTTGTCTCCTTGCTGGAAAACTGTTCTGCAACCTAGGACCCATCTGTGGAGCTACGACCAGGCCAGGTGTACCTTTTGCTGACATCTGAAGTTATGATTGCTAGAATTAGCAATGTTGGGTAAAAGTAGCTTGCATTTTATAATTAAAACACCTAGTCCCTGCCAAGCCAAGGCGCAGCAAGTAAAAACCGAAGTCTCTTTCTACCTCAAGGCAGCTTACAATATCCCAGTGATTACAGGCAGTACAATTTCGGTATGGGACTATACCTCAAAGCTGAGATTCACCAACCCTATCCTGTGCTTACATACCTTTATGAGCCTTTCTTTCCTTAGGTGAACACGAGCTGACGTTTGACATCCTTTGCTTCCTGGTTTATGCTGGATTTAGGAGTATAAATTGCAAGACTCTGCCTCCTTACACAGCTGCCTCATTGTGTCAGGGGAGAATCAACCTCTGTCCTTACACAGGTTCAAGATCTTGCATTTGGACATCAGGTGCTCATGGACTTACTGGTTGCATTTGTTTTTTTTCTTTTTCAATCGAGTATTTCCTTTATACAAATATTTTAATAAAGCTCCTAGTTATTGGAGAGACTGAAATTCTTTCCACTTACGCTTGAGTATACTATCCCTGCAGGTATCTTTACCCCTGTGTTCTCTGCTTTCTAATCAGGGACAGGGAAATGGAAGCCGAATCTCGGGTACAGAGTTGTTCAGCTCTCAAAGGCGCTGATCAGGATCTAGATTTACTTCCATGTGATTTTGGAAACCTGCACTACAGGCACACAGAACTTCCCCACTTCTCTGGAAATTTTGCTGCTTCCTTCTAAGAGGAGCTCACATGTAGTTAAAAAATAAACAGCATTATCATTTTTACTACTAAATAATTTAAGATCTCATGACTAATTTACTCTAAGTATATGCATTGCAAGGATGCATTTTAAACCTTTCATGAATAAAACCTCTCCTCAGAGCAGAATATTTTTAAACAGTTCTAAAAAATACAGCTTTATAAAGCAACATACTATCAGCATGTCCTAGAGTGCTCTGGTATTTTAGATATTTTAATATACAAACTAGTGTGACTTTTTTGCTGAATTAAAAACTGCAAGATTGGTGTTGTAGGTAGATAACAGAGGTTCTCTTATTTGCTTGGAGCAAGAAGCCAGGCTTATTGATTGGCAAGATCAGGTTTTCACTGTCTCCATTACATGACAAACCACCCTGGTATGCAACACAGCAAAAGCATGAAAGCCTTATGAGCCATGAACATGTTACAATGTGGGGTGTTAAGAATGATGGAGCTGTGTAATATTCGAGTCCTCCTGCTTGCTTTCTGTGAAAACAGAGATCATTCCTACGTGCAGGCCTGGGTCTTGGTAAAGGAGAAAGGGAGAGAGAAATGAAATACTTTACAGAGCAAGGATTCTGCAATGCTTCTCAAGTCTCAGTGTTTTTTCCTGTCCCTTATGTAGCAGAAACTTAAGAGCTTTGTTTTCTGGGTATTATATCTCAGTCTCTTGTTCCTGAGTCACTGCTTGGTGATTCTTCTCTGTAAGATCCCTGAGCTGGGCTGCAGAGGAGCACTGCGATTCAGATGTTAACTTGAGAGCTAAGGAGAAGCAGCTGGGCAGGTGGAGCAAAGGCAGAGAGCAGAATGTGCTGGAAACTTCCAGCATTTTTAGGGGCATAAAAATTATACCAACTCTTTTCAGCCACTGCAATAACTATAATGAGGGACAGGAGAATAAACAAACATAGACAAGGAAGCAAAATGTGGCAGCCTGTCCCTCGCCTGCAGCTCAGCCAGCGGAGCTCCGCAGCAGGGCTGGCTGTGGGCAGAGGAGCACAAATTGGGTACCAGCTGAGGAACACATATACTGACTTCTCCTTCCTCTCCTCACCCCTTTCCCATCAGACGAGGCTCACTCTCCAGGCTAAAGAGAATAATGTGACTATTAATAATACCTTCTTCTGCTGACTGAGAATCTCAAAGCCATTAATTAATCCCTGCACAAGTCTGATGAGGTAGGGACAGCCAGCATCATTCTCCTTGCTTTCAAGCACAGAATTTTGGGGATGATCACCTGGCTGTCACTAGGCATCTGATTTTCCTACCTCCGATCCAGGGGGTAGCACGCTCCCAGGGATCAGCTGTCCCTGCCTGCTACACGTCTGGCCCTTTTTCAGAGATCCTTGAGTCCCCATCTTTTTGCAGGCACCAGGGTGCTGTGCTACCCCATCCTCCTCCTCCTCCCCCCCATCCTTATCCACAAGAGGGTTCTCCATGGAAAGACTCAGATGGAGCCCAGGATCTCCTCGGCACTGCGTGCTGGTTGTTTCTCTCCATCAAAGGAGAAGAAAAGCTTCTTCCCTCTCCCCCCACATCACTCAGGGCTCTAGAGCAGCGCCCGCCCCCCTCCTCCCCCCCGCACTCACCATCTCGTTGTAGGCATCCCTGCTGAGCCGGGGGGTGAGTTTGATGGTCCCCATAAAGACAAAGAAGAGCCCCAAGGCCACCGAGAGGGCGATGATGGTGACGGTCCGGGGAGATGCCATGGAGCCGCAGGGAACCGGTGCAGGGGAGGCCTCGTCGCTGCGGCCGGGAGGCGGCCCCGCACCATGGAGATGAGGGACAGAGCCGCAGCAGCAGCGAGGGGACTCAGCCCCCCCCACTCAGCAGCCGCTGGGTCCTAATGCCCCGCAGCCGGAGCCAGGCGCGTTCCCGCCGCTCCTGCAGTGAACTCATCCGCTGTTTCCTTCCACGTTCCCTAAATTACCCCCGGAATGCCGGAACCGAGCCAGTTTTAGGGATGCGGGATGGCAGCCAAACGCATGGCAGTCTCTCACTCCTGGGAAAACGACGTTAGCAGCAGGGTAACGGGAATAACCCGCTATGGAGGAAAACCGGTCGGAGATCTCTTGGACACAGGCAGCTTTCCGTTTCAGATGCTCAGACACCAGTACATGGCAAACAACATTTGACTTAATACATTTGCCCCAGAAAAGCAAAAAATATGTCTAACCCCTGTGGCTATCCTGGATCCTGAAGCCCAAAAGGGACGGTGAGGCCACGGTGCCACCCTCCCCCATTGCAGATAAAACTTGTCCTCTGTGTTCAGCTCTCCAGAGATTGGTGGAAAGGTTCCTGATTCTCTATGACTTCTTGATTTAAAGTCATTATCTCTCCCCCTCTAATGTGCAACATATTTCCTTTTGACAAAAGCATAGCCAGGGTGAGCAGAAATCCATTCAGGTCTTGCAGTGAGAAGCCAAGGTATAATTATACAAAAAAGAACTGCTGGAAAACTGCATCCCCTGCTATAAACTGAAAACAAGAGGCTGTAACTGTGGAAAAATCTTACAGTCATGGGATACTACAAGAGCAACACTTCCTGTGCCTGTCAGGAATCTCCCCATCATGTCCCTTTCTGGTGCAGTAAGTCTCAAATCCTAATCCCATGTAATTTAAACCCTCATGTCTTGAGAACTCATGGTTGTTGTTATTCCAAGCTCAGGGATCCTTAGGACTGCAGTTAAAAGTCTGAAACATACAGGCAACTCTCCCTGTTTCCTTGTGAGTTTATCAGCCTTGATTCACCCAAATCAGATAAAAGAACTCCTCTTTTGGAGGAAGGAGTGAAATTTAACAGCCTGACTCTGGAAACATGTTCTGCTACTGGTCTGGCATAGATGACAGGATAAACCAAAAGGTAACTTCAATACAACATAAAAGCAAAAACTAAAAGGAGCTGTCAAAACAACATGGAGTTCACAAAACACAAGGGAGCTCTGCTTACTCAGACCTACCTCCAGGTTGTAGCAGCTCCATCTTTTGAAGAGCTGGAGAGAACTTAATGTAACAGGGAAGTTCACAGCTTGCCAGTCAGTGAGCATGGCAGGGCAGATACAAAACACACCAGCTTTTTGAATTAACTGTTGCAGAGCAATGTGATGAGCAAATAACTTGTTGCTACTGACGTTTTCACAGGGCACTTCACATTTAGGTATCGGCAAGCATTAGCAGAGAAGGGGGAGGGAGGCGTGAAAGGAGAGACACTGAAATGTGTTCTGTCTTCATGCTGTTTTTCAGAAACGTATTTCTTATTACCTCCAACTTATCCACGTGACTGACAGTGACTCAATATTGGTTTCGGAAGTTTATACAAGAAATATTTCCCTGACTCCAAAAGTCAACATTTTCCCAATGAAGCCTGACAATTTCTGGTTCCTATGGTTTCTTCATAGAAAAATCACTATCAACTTGCAAAACACCTGAAGGATCCTTGAAGCAAGTGGAGAGATAATGGCATGGCAGTATTAGCAAATACGGTGGATTTTAGTACTTTGTATTCATGTGTTGATGGTGAAAACCCACAACACCAGGGAGAGGGTATTTTCCAGACTGCTTTAACCAGCAGCCCAAGAGGTTTGCAGGGGAGAGAAGGGTGATGAAATGCTACTTAGAACATTTTCACCCCAGAAATGTGAGTGTTTCCTTACAGAAGAGCGTAGTTAGGCAAACCAAAGTAAGAGCAAAAGCAAAATTATTTCTTTTTATACAACTTTCAAGAAAACAAGTTTAATTCCTAACTACACTGAGTCCAGTCTTTGAGACAGTAGGAGGTTGCTTCCCAAGCTCTCGGAGCTGGCATACCTGCCTCCTTGTCAGCGGGTGAACAGCAGCACCAGCTCACAGTGAAGAGTATGAGGAAACAAGTCAAAAGGGATGGCCAACGCAGGGATAAATGGCTTTCCTGCCAGCTTCTTCCCTGGGTCAGGTGGGCAGCACAGCCTGTGGAAAGCAAAAAGAGCATCCTTTAGACCAGCAAAGTCTTCCCACCATTATCAGCAGAGGATGCCCTAAGGAGGTTTGGCTGACATCCCCCCGAGTCCACAGCTGACACTGGCTGTGGTCTGCAACCATCAATACTAAATCCCAAACCAGCTCTGAAAACCTCACGGGCAAGCTGAAGAGTCAGGGGCAGATTCAAAACTCCCTTTCTCACAAGTCATCCCAGCTGAAAGACACTTAATACCCTTAGGAAATAATCCTCAGTTTTGCACTACCTTCATTGGTTACCTGCAGGCAGATTTATCACCTGTAAACAGGCCTGCCCCAGATAAAGACTCAGCCCTATGATTAACCCTAAGCGGGTGACTAATCCCCCTGACTTCACTTGGTTGGTGAGGGGTCAACCTTCCTGCAGTGGAATTCCATATCCCACATCCAGATGTGCTGTTTAGTTGGGGAAGGATGCACAATGCCATTATAGCACATTTGCATTATTTTCTATCCCTTACTGATGCACTAAAGCACTCTGCTGGTACGTAAAACTCCAAAAATACCCATTGCCTTGAACCAGTGAGTGCAGCTTGCAGGTAAACCCAAAGTAATGCAGAAGCATAAACCACTTCTGACCATGCACTGACTAGTCCTGGACCGCACCTGCAGAACTCACCTAGCGAAATTCAGTTGTGGCAAAAACCTTCCTAAGCCAATAGGATATTTATGTCCTTGTCTGGACATAATAGGGACTGTCACTAAACTCAGTGGAAAGGAAGAGAGGAGGATGCTCACTCAAGAAAGTTCCTCATGGCTTCACCTTCTGGCTTGCATGAGATGTAGAGAAGCCTTCGGATGGACTCGCAGTTTCGGATGGCTCGCACAACCCTGTGATCTGTAAAAACAGATACCATGCTTTCCCAGTGACCAGCCACCACTGTGAGCTCTCCAGAAGGAATAACTGCACAGTGAGCATCACAGAACTGCACTGAACTGCCAAAAACACAGGGGGGGAGAAAAGTATATACACATTTTGCCATGTCATGTCTCAGATGCAGGCTCCTAGGAGGCCAGGGATGCAACACATGCTGCTAATAGCTCAGCCAGTTTGGCAGAGTGGAGCAGTGGGAGGAATCCCTCTGCTTTCCAGGGGAATGAAGGATTAGAGAAAAATTAAAAGCAGAGGCACATAAAACCTTCCACACACGCTTGTGAGACCGCATCTGGGCACCAGGACCAGTTTGGGACTTCCCAGTACAAACTGGAGTGAGTCCAGTGGAGACCACTAAGACGGTTCAGGGGCTGGGGCATGGCATGCATGAAGAGAGGGCAAGGGCTGGGATTACTCAGCCTGGGGAAGAGAAGGAGCAGGGATCCATTCGCTATCTTCAGGGGCCTCATAGGGGATTACAGAGCAGATGGAGCCAGGATCTGCTCAGAGGGGCATGAGAAGAGGATGAGAGGCAACAGATGTGCTGCAGCAAGTAGAAATTCTGATTAAATGTATTAGGGAAAACATTTTCAGGAGAGGTTATCCACCCTTGGACACATTCAAACCTCAACTGTGCTTTATATCCCTGTGCAACCTTATACAGCTCTGAAGTTGGCCTTGCTGTAGCTGGGACATTGCACCACAGACTCCAGAGGCTCCTTCTCTCCTAAATAATAATATGAGCCTATGAAAGATGGTAAAAAGATTAGAGCTGTCTTCTCTAAAGGAAATACGTGATAGAGGCACTGAAAACAGCAGACACTGTGGGATTTTAGCTGCTGTTAGCAACAAGGTAAGAAATAGAGACTAAGTGAACAGAGGGTTTGCAGCCAGTATAACAGGTCTCAAAACTTGTTCAAAATTCTGTTCTCAAGATGAAAATAAATAGCATATTCTCTCACGGAGCCCAGCCCGCGATGGGTTCACCACAGCAACAAGGGGTCGGGCATCCTCCCACGACGACAGGAGCTGTGGTAACACGGCCTCTGCCTTTCCACTGTGAAACTCGCAGTTTGAAATTCCTGCGAAGCAAAAAGCAACCACATGAACTGCGCAGTCAGTCTCACCAGACATTAGGTATGCCATTAAGTACTGCCCTTTGCTGCATGGAGGGAGACTTGTTAGGATCCCTCCACTCACTTCTGCTTCCAATTTTTCAGCAGTTAGTTTGAAACTTTCCGCCACCGCGAGTCTGAACTCACCATTGAACGCTGCATTCCACCTGGCATCCTCTACTGCCTTCTCTACCACCTCAACACCAATAATCTTGGATGCTTGGTGAGCCAGAGAGAGACCAATTGTGCCTGGAAACAAGGGACACAGAAATGCTCTGTATATCCGTGCTGAAGAAGCCTTTAGATAGCAGGGATCATTTCTGGCATGCAGAGCACGTGGGAGCCACGCTCACATGGGCACTGCTTACCCGTCCCACAGCAGATGTCGAGGAGGACGGTGTCCCCACCAGCCTGACTCAGCTCCCCAACTGCCCGGTACAGAAGTTCTGCTCCACTTGTGTTGACTTGGAAAAAAGCATCTGGAGAGATGCGAAACTTCAGGCCCAGCATTTCTTCAAAGATGTGCAGTTCTCCGTGGAGGAGCTGGAAGGGGGACTGCTCATGGGAGCAGCGTGTCATGGTGCTAGCAGAGTACACAAAATCCAGCTGTTAGCTCAGCAGAGACAGCTGATTCCCATTTCCATTCCTGGGGTGCTCATGCAGGGGAGGATGGTTCTCCCCCCATCAACTTTTATTTCATGTGAGCTTTTCAACAGGATCAAATAATTTTGATTCTTTGTAAGGGATCTGTAACTTGCACAACCTAGAAGTCATTAAAAGGATCAAAATGACTTTGCAGAAGATAGCAGTCCTAGGGTCTGTTCCCCAGTTTTGCTGCCAATGTGATTTACTGTCTTGGGAAAGTGACTTTAGGTATTTTTCTTTAGTTTCTCAGGCTCATAACTTCCATGAGGTAGAGCCATAGCATACTCAGGTATTTCAGGTGAAGATGTGATTATCTTAAAACCACATCTGTAAGAGGCATCCAAACATCTGTCAGTCTCTTCAAGCACTCCCTGAACTGGTAGCATCTGAATTTGATCAGAGATGGGGAGAGAAAAAGGAGGTTGCTTTGTTTCCGCTCTTTGCCTGTGTCAAGACATATACCTCTCTTGGAAATAAAGTGAAGTCAAGTCACAGACAGTTCCAGGTCCACAGGTAAAGAAATCCTTAAGTGATGCTTTCTGAGCAGCCAGGGCCTCCTGTCAAGGGTGAGAAAGGAAAACCCGGCTGTTTGGGTGATCTGATGGGACGCCTCTCCTCAGCAAGCCCAGGTCAGCCAGAGACCTACTGTGCCTCTTACAAAGGGCCCTGTCCCCTGCACACTCACCGGGCCCAGCTGCTGGGGGTGGAAGGTGACGACAGCCATGGTGTGGCCATGGCTGGTGGTGCGGACCACGAGCTCCCGCCAGTGTCCGCCTTCATGGAAGAGGATGCAGGGGTCCAGGGGGGAGCGACGGATGAACTCCTCGTAGCACTGAGCACAGGGGAAATGGCACGTGTAAGACAGCGAAGGCAACTGCCCTGGTCTTAGCATGACTCTGTGCACCCCAAACGGGTGCCCCTTCCACCAGTGTCATCTGTTTTTTCTGTTTGATTTCAATACTCTGAGTGAAAGCACTTTCCAGGTTCTTGGAAGACAAGACATGTTAATAATTCCCATCTGTGATTTTTAGGAATTTTAATAAATTGACAGGAATTCACTGTCACTTGATTAATTTCATGCTTTGGGACACTTTAGAGGCTGCAACATTAGCAAGTTTTAAAATAATATTTAGCCATTGATCAGAGTCAGGCCTGAAACTTTTCAGAACATGGAAATGGATGTGAAAACCCAGTATAACTAAAATTACAGTGCTCTCAAAGAGAAGAGTTATAGCAGTCACTCTGTTCTGTCTGGGGACAGACATGACTTATTTATTTACCTGGGCTACTTGCTTGTGTTTTTGGGGTATGTTCTCCATGTGGTTGGCATTCACACAGACAATATTTCTTGCTGAGGAGAGACAGACAGGTATTTAATTGTTTTGTTTCAGGGAACGTAAGCCATTGTAGCATCTGACATGATAAACTGTGGAGAGGCCTTCATCTGATTTCTCCCACAGAAAAAGAGAAAAGAGCGAGGGGAAAAAAAGAAAAAAGTGCTAAGTGCCACTAAATCCTGTGATATTCTGGGTCTGCAGGATCTGCCAGAATTCCCTTTGCCACTGTCACTAGTTCTCATTGAAAGGCTGGAGCTCTGGGAGCTATTTAAAATGTCCTCCAGCAACTCTCAAAGGAGCCACTGCGCTGCTTTTAAACTAAGGGAGCCAGAAGAGAGCAAGCTGGTTTCCCAACTAGGGAATAACGGGGCTGACTTACAGCAGCAAAGGAGTTCAGGTTGCCTGGAAGACGGCATTCCTACTTCAGGTTAAATGCTAAACTTCTGCTGCCAGCGGTAAAATGCATCCATGGAATTATTTTTTCCATCAGAAAAGTACACAGCGACCACCCCTCGGCGTCTCTCACTATGAAAGTTGAGAAGCAAAACCTGGCATTGATGGTGTGAACGAGTTCACCACTGAGCAGCTTGGGAGGACCTCGCATCTTTGCTGCCCAAAAACAAACTGCCTTGTGCACTCCAAACATTCAAACGTTGCTCTGCTGCCTATGGACATGCGGGTGCATGGGGGGGTCCCCCATGCTCTCCCTGCTCAGCACAGGCTCCTGGAGCACAGTGAAAACCCAGGGACAACATGAGTAAGAATAACAAAGCTAAATCCTGGAGGGGCTGCTACCACAGCTGTCATACTTTGTTGCATTTAGCAAATTAGAAGCTGCTGTTTCTTAATAAGCTAATCAAGTATCAACTGAGGTTTTCAAATTGCTGGCCCAGACTTGGTGGTGTTTCTGTTGGCATCCTTCAGGATTCAGGCTTCTAACACGGGTGCAGGCTGTCACAGCAGAGCCTTGTCCCAACCCAGCCCACACCAGCAGTTTTCTACCCAGCTCCTTGTCCTGTGCTGACCTCTGCCAGTTCCCACATACAACCCCACGGTTTTGGGGTTCCCATCTGGTCCTCGGTTCACAGAGAAAGTAGATTTGTTTCGGTAGCCGTGAATGACGGGCTGAGGGAAAAAAGAAGGAAAAGTAAAGCCCTGGATTAAAAGTAATGGAGGAAAGCCCAAACCCACCCTAGTTGTTTTGTTGGAAACATGGGAAGAGACACATGAATGTGCAAAAAGCAGAAATGGAGCTTGTGGGCAAGACCTCCAGTACCTCCCCTTGGGAACAAGAAGTGGCTCTCTGAGACAGAACGGTGACACGTTTATCAAGTTTGGGAACAAAAAAGCATTCCTAATCACTGGCCTTGTTTCACCCTCTGGCAGTCACAGGCTAGCAAGGACTGCCTCAGACGTGTTCTCTCCAACCAAGTGATCCCCAACATGAGACTCTTTGGGAGCTGAGTGACTGTCAGTGGCTCAGAGGGGACAGCATTACCACAGGATACTCACTGAAGAAACTACAGGCTGGAGAGGACAGCAGAGTCCACCAGGTTTCTGCACATCTATGCCCAGCTCCTTCAGATGAGATGCCAGTGTCTGCAGAATCTTCCTCTGGCTTTCATACTTCACCTGCAGAGGAGTCCTAAGCCAGAAACACCCTCACAGGACCACACGATGGTGGGCAGCTCTTCATCACCCACCTCTGGGAAGCCCAACGTGGGGAAATACTGCAAGTGGGACATAACCCCAGAGGAACTCTGCATTTCTCATCCCCGCAGCCCCTTGGAGCTATGGGGAGAGAGAGAAACCCTGTGTTCATGGTTCCCAAGGGCTGGTCTGGAGCACTTGGTCCAACCTTAAGCCCCGCTGACCCAGTTGTCCCACACTGGACAGGATTGCTATGCGAGTGCCCATCCTCGCTGCTGTTGGTGGTCGCACACACCACCCACAGGGACCCTCCCACTTCCATCCTTCACAGTAACTGAAGAATTACAGCAGCAGTAAACGGAGTCTGAAGAGTTTACAGCACTAAGCAAATAAGATGCTAAGGGCTGTTGCTCAAGGGGGATAGAAGGGAACTGGGGCAACACAACAGAGGAAAGTCCACATAAGCAAATCTTACCTGCAGTTGCTCTTGATAGGGAAGCCTCCACAGCGGAGTCACTGCATTCGCTAACCTGGAAAGCACAATATTGCAGTAGTGCTCAGAGCTACTCATCTCCTGATACTTACGGCATAACATCCCCACCAGCTGTTTCACAGGCAGGACCATTCTGGTGCACCAGAGCTGGCTGTGAACATCCAAACTCCCTTTTCACAGCACCTTCCTGGTACAGAATACTTGTGGCTGGAAGAGGGACCCAGGAACCACAACAACCAGCTCTCCAGAGCTGAGCCTTTGGCAGAAGATCAACCAGGGATGCCTGAGTGTCCTGGGGAACCCAGGCATCTTTCCGATCCCCCTTTCGAGGACAGGGCCAGGAATGGCATTTCCGCTGCACGGGTACCCAGAGAGGCCCAGCCAAGCACTGGATGAGACCTGACTCCAGGCTGGTGAAACCAAGGGAATGAGTATTCTTTTTTGCTAATGCCGTACTAGATTAAATCCACCACAGTGAAATGCTCAGTTTGTGCTTTGCAGGCTGCCCGCTCCCACAGCCCAGCCACTTACACAGCAGCAGTTTAGAGACAAACGTCAGAACTTGCTGCTACTTGCATCTGTGACAGGGCAAGCAAGAACACAACACAGACAAGCTGATTTTAAAAACAAACAAATAAAAAGAAGGGGTGAGATGGCTATGATCCAAAGTATCATAACTATCCATCAAATCCACTCACTGACCCCATGGAGAAGCTCACCCCACAGCTGGATAAGCTGCTGTTATTGCTTACTGGGATTTTTTGAGCTGCTTCCAGAGCACCCAGTGCCAACTACTTTCAGGCACAGAACTGCCAATCAAATGGACTATTATTTTTTGCTTGCCAGTGCAGCAACTGCTCCACTCCTGGTCCTTTCCTCTTAGACCTTTTCAGTTGTCTTTTCCATCATTCCTATCCCCAGACAAGGCTCCAGGGAAGCCAGCTGAGCCCTGGCTACCACGGAGAGCTGGGGGGAGGCAAAACCCTCAAGTCACTGCTCTAACTGCTGCAGGAACTCGGTGCTATGGAAGAGTGCTCAGTTTTTTTTTGAGCCGTCCCTCTTCTCCCAGGAGGAATCCGGCAGTCTGCAGCCCTCCTTGGCCTCCTCCTTCCGTTTTGCTGCTGTTTCTGTTGGCAGGCGGCGGTACTGCCCGGGCAAGCTGCTCAGGAGACCACTCGAAAGGTGAAGGTGCCGGCGTTGCAGCCTCAATGTGCAGGACAGAGCCATGGTGGGAGGCCAGGGGCTGCTCCCCCGCAGCAGCACAAGCAACCTCACCCTCACTGCCCAGAACGCGGCTCCTCAGCTCCGCACCGGGAGATGAGCTGAGGAAAACACCGCGACTGGGCTTTTCCTTCGCTCGGGGCTCCGGGCGGCGCAGCGCGGGCCCTACCC